CCCCTGAGAGTTGATGATGAGAAGGAGGAAGAAGGGGAGAAGGAAGGGTGGGAAGAAAAAGCTGTACCTAGGAACGTGTCTACTCTTGCAGGATTTCCTTATCCACTTTCAATCTCACCAGACCTTTCCTAGTTTAAAAGAGAAGGCATTCTATAGCCAGTCCCAGTTGTACCAGGGCTATTTCCAGAGTGAACAAAAGCACAGGACCAAATCAAGACATGATGGTGGGGCTAGAAAGTAGCCAAGGAGTGGCTAAAAAATGCAGATGGAGTGAGGTCTGATGACATCCAGGCGGGGCACCCGTTCTCCTTCACGTACTTTCTCTTTCTGACAAAACTCAGAAACGAGAAAATTGTTAAGAAGGAATACATGTTAGATCATTTTCCTTTATTTGACTTTTAAAAATTGTTTCCTTTTTGATGCAAAATAGTTCTGATTTCCTTGTTAGGCTGGCCATGAAGCCTGTGTCTGCCAATGCATTTGTGCTATGAATATTTTCAGTGCATTGAACATTTTTTGTTTGTATGTTTTGCAGCTATGTTCTTCATGCTGTGAACTTTTTTTTTGGCAATTGATAGGTGGATATCTACTCTTATTTAGTATTCTCTCAAAATAACTGTTTGTCAACTAACACTGACTATACTTTCTTAATCAAAGATCTGTTGAGAAGATCATGAAAGCACATTGACACCATGTAACACAGAAACCATATATTTTATAAGCATATGAAATTGTGGCCAAGCTAATAAGGTTAAAATTTATAAGAGAGAGAGAGAGAAACAGTTTCTAAGAGACAGGAATATATGGTTTGCCATGACCTGAATGTTGAGATCCTTACCTGACTGGTGATATAAAGGAATGAAAAGCAAACAGATGGACAGGCAGACACGTGTACAGAAAAGCTAGGTGGCACATGGATCAGCACCTGCTGTGCAACAACTCAGAACTTTGGCATTTCTATTATGGGGAGGGGTCAGCCAGTCTCCTTAGAAGGTCTCTGTAAGCACCAGTCTCAGGCTGGAAGCACCCAGCAGGAGGAAGCTGCAGTTGCTGGCTTTTGCACACACTGGAAACATTCACACTTTGACTACAGGAAGATTTTGCTATCCCTCTGAGCCTCACCCGAGGGGAAACTTTTGCCATTTCCCATTGGTCTGAGGCATTGGTCCTTGACATGGCCTTTTTCCATTCCTCACACATTTACTCAGGACTTCTTCAGCTCCCCAGAATGGTTTTCATAAATTTTAGACATAGAAGGAAAATATTTTAATATATTGCTATAAAAATGCTTTCATTTCCATGCTGTTCCATTTCTCATTTAAAGCACTTGCAAAAAGAGCTAGAAAAAATGTTCTTAGGTGAGGCCAACCCCAGTTGTATCTCTGAGGAATATCTCCATTGTGAGATTAAAGCATCCCATTTTTATTTGATTCTGGCAGTCATGTACGTGAACTGCACTCAATGTTTTGGTCCATAAGAGGCTGTGTATCGTGGTGATCATAAAGGATTTTATTCCATAATAATATTACAGTTACCCTACTTGGTTGTTCTAGTTTGAGTCTGTTGCTATGATAAACACCATAACCAAAAGTAACTGGGGAGGAAAAGGCTTATTTTAGCTTACAGGTTATAGTCTTCATTAAGCCACGGTAGGAGCTTGGGAGTGCAGGCAGGAATCATGGAGAGATACTTCTTGCTAGCTTCTCTGGCACACATTTAGCTACTTTTCTTATGCAGTCCAGGTCTACAATGGGCCTGGCTTTCCTCTGACAAGCAATCAGGAAAATGCCCCACAGACAAGGCCACAGGATGCTCTTATGGAGACAATTCTTCAGTTTGAGGTTCCATCTTCCCATGTGACTCTAGTTGGTGTCAAGTTCACAATAAAAGCCAACCAATGTGTTGATGTAAGTATGCTTCATGTTGTTCTCACAATGACACAATTGCCTGACCATTAATTTCTCAGAACTTGCTCTGTCATTAAGTGATTCACAGCTATATTTAGAAGCAATCCATGGAATGAAAGGAATTTTCTCTAGTCATGAGGATCCTTCATTGTGTATGCCAAGAATTGCTGTTGCTCTATGCTTATTTGTTGCTCCTTTTTATTTCTTCAGATTTCATGATTCAGAGATTTAAGGGTAAAAATGTTTCACAAGGAGAAGTATTGTTATCTTGAAGGGTTATTTACTTCTTGCCAGTTGACCTTATACCTAACTCATCCCCTTTCTGGACCTGAGGCTGGAATCCTGTCAGAAGAGTAAGCTATACCAACATCAGGCAGGGTACATTTAACTTTTGTTATGTCTAGGCCTCTAAGGTTGCTGCTTACAATAAAAACTGAAGATGCCCAGTAGGATATTTGAAAAGCTTTTTAATTCAGCCCATTGCCAAGATCTGAATACCAAGAGATGGTCAAGAAACCAATGAAACTGAAGACTATGTGCTCAAGTGTGTCCAGACAGGACCAGGCTTTGAGGAAGCACCCTGAGCACATGTTCATGTGGCCCAATCTACTCTTTATCAGGACACAGAAAGAGCCTGTGTTATTGACTTCACTAAGGAACCTATTAGCAAAGCGACAGGCTTAAGGCAAGGATGCTCCAGGGCGATTATTGGGTGACATGATCCAAATAAAGCTTTTCTCTTTGTTTCCATGTACCTTCCTCAGTCCTGAGGCTTTACTGATGGAGAAATGCTGTTGGAGTGGAAGAAAGGGAGGTTTGGGTATCAGACAGGCTCTTATTACCTTGGTTATTAAGTCTTCTTGAGCTTCAGTCTCCTGATTTGTAAGAAGAAAATGATTATCCCTGCAGTTGTTAAGACAATTAGAATAGATAGAATTCAGTATCCGATGTAGTGTCAAATTAATATTTGGACTATCTATTGATTTTTCTCATAGCAGATAATCAACAATAACTATAATTATGCTCATATTAAAAATACCACCTGTCATGGTTAGTTTTTGTTGCCAACTTAGCACAATCTAGGATTATGTGGAAAGAGAGAGCCTCAATTAAGGAATTTTATAGATCAGATTGGCCTGTGACTATGTCTATGAGAGTCTGTTTTGATTGATGATTGATGTGAGAGGTCCCAGTCCACTGTGCATGGCACATCCCCAAGAAAATGGGTCTGGGCTATATAAGAAAGCTAGCTGACCATGAGCCAATGAATGAGCTAGTTAGTAGGCTTCCTTCATGGTGCTTGTCTCCAGGTTCCTGCCTTGAGTTCCTGTCCTGACTTCCCTCAATGATTGATTATGACTAGGAAGTATATGCTGAAATAAATGCCTCCCCAAGTTGATTTCTTAAAATTACTTATTTACTTGTATGTGCATGGAAGTTTTGCCTGCATGTATGCCTGTGCACCACATGCATGCCTAGTGCACACAGAGACCAGACAGGGCATCAAATACCCTGGGATTGGAGTTACAGACAGTTGTAAACTGCCAAGTGAATGCTTGGAATTGAATCCAGATCCTCTGGAAGAGCAACCAGTGCTCTTAATCTCTGAGCCATCTCTCCAACCCCCAAGTTGTTTTATCATACCAACAGAAGTCAAATTAGAACATCATTATAATAACAATAATGGTCATGGGTGAGATATCAAGATTTTTCCAATCACATTCAAAACCTATAAGAGAAGCACTATTGTGGTATGTATTAGAGAAAAACATAATAGTAAGAAAAGTATATTGTGTACCCTAATAAACTTATCTGGGGATCAGAGGACAGAGTCAGCCACTAGATTAGACATACAGACCAGACAGTGGTGGCACACACCCTTAATCCTATCACTTGAGAGGCAGAGATTGGCCTGGATCTCTGTGAGTTCAAGGCCACACTGGGAACAGAGTCAGGCAGGGTGGCACACGCCTTTAATCTCAGCACTTGAGATCTCATGTCTTTGTTTGGAAAACACATGTCTTTAATCCCAGGAAGTGACATGGCTGGGTGGAGAATGGTATATAAGGCTTAAGGAGACAGGAACTAAGCAACGGTTCAACTAAGATCCTCAGGGGTGAGGACTCAGAGGCTTTCAGTCTGAGGATTCATGTGTGGAAACAGGATTGGCTGAAGAGTTGGCAAGGTGAGATTGGCTGTATCTTTTTCTGCTTCTCTGATTTTTCAGCTTTTACCCCAGTATCTGGGCTCAGGGTGTGGTGGTATTGTGTTCCCCAAAATATTGTGCACCCTAATAAACTTATCTGGGGTCAGAGACAGAACAACCACAATATTAAACATAGAGGATAGTCAGTGGTAGCACAAGCCTTTAAT